ACAAGACTTGGGTCAGGCTTAATTAAAAATCATTAGAAGCTGTTAATTCATTTGCCCTAAAGTGTTTATGGTTAGAACCTGGGTGAATGACAGAGGGAGATTGCTTGGTAGTGCTTTTATTTTCTAACTAGAATCTAACCTGATTACTTACTTTTCCTTTGCAGGTGATCTGGTACTGCTTGACGTATGTCCCCTTACACTTGGTATTGAAACTGTGGGAGGTGTCATGACCAAACTGATTCCAAGGAACACTGTGGTTCCCACCAAGAAGTCTCAGATCTTTTCCACAGCTTCTGATAATCAGCCAACTGTAACAATCAAAGTCTATGAAGGTAATGACTTATATTCACAAATATTGTGTGGTTTGAAAGAGTGTGACTTTGGATCTAATAATACATCATTAAAATGTCAGGGAAAGAAGTATCTTATTTATTTATTATCTCAATTCAAATGAAGAGATTGCTTAGTGTTGAATTTTAGATTCAGTACTTAGCATTCTTGTCCACTGGCTTTTGGAATACAAATTAAGGGATACAAATTTTTAAGAAATGAGATTTGGTTCAGAGCGGTAGTACCCAGTGAGTTGCTGTTCTTACTCCAATACTGAGTTACTTTTACCTCAATAAAGCTCCCCCCCCACCTCCCCACACATATTCTAACAGGTTGAAGTGTAGGGATACCAGTACGTTATGCTTATCAATAACAAGTTTTTCCTGTTGTTACTCCAGGTGAACGACCCCTCACAAAAGACAACCATCTTCTGGGTACATTTGATCTGACTGGAATTCCTCCTGCTCCCCGTGGGGTGCCCCAGATTGAAGTCACCTTCGAGATAGATGTTAATGGTATTCTTCGTGTGACGGCTGAAGACAAAGGTACAGGAAACAAAAACAAAATCACTATTACCAATGACCAGAATCGCCTGACGCCTGAAGAAATTGAAAGGATGGTTAATGATGCTGAGAAGTTTGCTGAGGAAGACAAAAAACTCAAAGAGCGCATTGATACCAGGAACGAATTGGAAAGCTACGCTTACTCTCTCAAGAACCAGATTGGAGATAAAGAAAAGCTGGGAGGTAAACTTTCCTCTGAAGATAAAGAAACCATGGAAAAAGCTGTAGAAGAAAAGATTGAATGGCTGGAAAGCCACCAAGATGCAGACATTGAAGACTTTAAAGCTAAAAAGAAGGAACTAGAAGAAATTGTTCAGCCCATTATTAGCAAACTCTATGGAAGTGCAGGCCCTCCCCCAACTGGTGAAGAGGATACATCAGAAAAAGATGAGTTGTAGGGCACTGATCTGCTAGGGCTGTAATATTGTAAATACTGGACTCAGGAACTTTCGTTAGGAGAAAATTGAGAGAACTTAAGTCTCGAATGTAATTGGAATCTTCACCTCAGAGTGGAGTTGAAAATGCTATAGCCCAAGTGGCTGTTTACTGCTTTTCATTAGCAGTTGCTCACATGTCTTGGGGTCGGGGAAGGAGGAATTGGCTATTTTAAAAATTGGGGGAAAAGCTAGGTCAGGGTGTGTGTTCACCTTGGAAATGTTCTATTTAACAATTGGGTCATGCACATCTGGTGTAGGAACTTTTTTCTACCATAAGTGACACCAATAAATGTTTGTTATTTACACTGGTCTAATTTTTGTGAGGAGCTTGTAATTATCTGTCTTTTATTTTAGATAACTAAAACTTAAGGCTGGATTCTCAGGTGTGTCTGTCTGTATGTTGGGCAGGGAAGCGGGGGCTTGTGATGTTGCCGGGTGGCACCACGTCCTGGGAATTTGTCTTTGCAGCAGGGCAAAGGCTGTGTGCTTGTTTCCTCCCCCAGGCAAGGTCACTACACAGAGCCCAGGTCCAGTTCTCTAGAACATGATCAAACTCTTACTTCCCCTTGGTAAAATTGCTTTCTGGGGGTGTTTTGTTATTTGGCTTTAGTATTTCAAGACAAGGTCTCTTTGTAGCCCTGGCTGTCTTAGAACTCACACTTAGACCAGGCTGGCCTCCAATTCAGATCCATGTCTCTACCTTGCAGGTGCTGGGATTAAAAGTGTGCACCACCACTGCCCTTTCAGATATTTGTTAACAAGTAATGCTGTGGGGCTGTGGATTCTCTTATGAACAGGTGATGTGCCAGGCTTGTAACTCCAGCTGTGGCAGGAGAATGGCAAGTCCACACCCCACCTAGGGAACCGACGCTGTGGTGTAAACGGTGCTAGGGCATTGCATAGCGAGTGTGAAGCCCTGGGTTTAATACTCTGCTGGAGAAAAAAAAATGACCTGATGACTTACACACTTAAATTTTATTTTTCTTTGTGGTGTAAGTTCACACCCCAGGGTCTTGAATATGCTAAACACTTCCTATCACTGGGGAGTACTTTGGTAATTTATATTTTAAGATTGATAGAAAGTACACATTTATACACACCTTTGACAGAAGCACTCAGGAGCATTTCTGAGGCCATCCTAGTCTACCTAGTGAGCTCTAGGCCAGCCAGAGCTATGTAGAGACCTTGTCTCCAAAAAGCAAAACAAATACACAATGGCCTGAGGATTTACTTCAGTTGGTTGAGAGCACTTGTCCAGCATGTATGAAGCCCTGGATCTGAAACCCAGCACTGCATACTGTGTGTTGTGGCTCAGGCTGGAAGCAGGAGGATTAATGAAATACCAGCTTCAGTTATGTAGTTCACAATGGCTTATGAAGCCTAATTTGGTCAGAACTCCCACTTCTGAAGTGTTTTACTGGTACTGTGGTGGGTTGTGTATAGTAACCTTGAAATGACAAACTTCACTTGATAGTCAAAGGACTGGTTGAGGATTGTTTATAGATGGGCTTCCTCAGAAAAGGGGTGAGCTAGGTAATCAGTCTGATCGATGAGGATTTTGTCCAGTGCTAACATGAAACTCAGTACTGCCCAAAGACAGATGTTTTATAACTGGGCAGCCAGCTGTAAAGTTAGTAAGAATGGTAGATTTGGGGACCTGACAACTCTGTCTTACTCTTGGAATTCATATTTGTGCATTGTCTGATATATTTTGAACACAGCATGGTAGCTCATGCCAGTAATTCCCACATTCAGGAAGCTGGCTGAGGCAGGAGGGTTACAGCAAGTTGAGGTTACAGTGTGAGATCCTACATATCTGTCCACCTTACCCTAAAAAAGAGATGGGCAGGGTTATAATAGAACATGCCTGTAATCCTAGCACTCTGGGATGCTGAGGCAGGGGGATGACAAGTTTTCAACCAGTCTAGGTTGTCAGATTTTTGCCTCAAAAACACTAATAGGCAAGTGTTTAGGCAGGTCTGGAGTGCATCTTAAGTCATGGGGCCAATGCTCAGTCAAATGTTAAAATTGACCTTGTTCGCTTCATGCTGGGCCAAGGGGTGAATAGGAATGATGAGAGGCAATCTTCACTCTTATCCTCCATTGCTAGCACTACTCCCCACCCCCTACCCCGCCCTGCCCCACCCTGAGACATGGTTCCTCTGTAGTTTTGGTGCCTGTCCTGGATCTTGCTCTGTAGACCAGGCTGGCTTCACACAGATCCGCCTGGCTCCTGAGTGCTGGGATTAAAGGCGTGCGCCACCACTGCTGGACACTAGCACTCCTTTTTTTTTTTTTTTTAAGGTCCCACTATGTAGACTAGGCTGGGATTAAAGGCATATACCACTGTACTCTGC